TACTGTCTTTGTGCATACTTTGAGGTATCTTCGTAATAACCTTATATTACAATGAAGTGAAATTTGTTTGTTAAAAACAAAACAGCAATTATGCGTGCTGCATTCCTGTCAATGTCATTTCACTGGTTTTTGAAATTACAAAGATACTGTCTCAATAACCAAGGCATTAAAGGATTATCACACTTCCAATGCATACTATTTTGTAGAGATTAGTATAGCTTCTCTAATTACTCACATTATTGTGTTCAGGAGAGCCATTTTTAGCTCCCAGGTCTGTTTCAAACGATAACGCCTAGATAACAAGAAGCTATATAATCAATATAGATGACAATTCAATATACTGGTAGTTATACACACATGTACAATATGTACAACTTCCCATCTTTTTTCTTATATTCTTCATTATTTATGGAAATGAACCGCAATTTTGGAGCCAATAGACAATATTTGAGTTAATTTTCAGTTTTTACTCAAAAATTTGGCTATTTTTGTCCCAAATTTCTGAAGAAAATGCAGACTATAAATGGGACTATTTGTGATGAAAAGAAGCAGCTGATGGTGAAAGGGGTAATGATTTACAATGCAGTCAAACCTGTGAATAGCGAACACCAAGGGGGTTTTATTTTTTTTTATATACAGGTGGGATTTTATTTCGAGGTTGAAATGTTTTTTTATTGATCACCAAATCTTACTTAGATATAATATTTGAGAAGGTACTGTGGCAGCAATACTTATTCTAGTTGATCAAAATCGAAATTAAAAATGATTTCTTATTATACATGTATAAAGAAAGTAATACTTGTTTTATAAACAGAATGATAATTATTATTTTGATCTCTAAACAAGCGAGTCTGCAAAAATACTGCTGAATGGCTCATCATATGAGACAGGTGGCTTTAGGTTGTTCATACACTATGCGGCTTGGGACTGTCTAAAAGTGGTCACTAGAGGCAGGTGGTCTTTTACAGGTTTTACTGTATACAAAATAAATATGCAAATTAACTGCAGTGCCTGGGTATTTAGCTTGGAAGGAAACTGTTGGAAATACAAAAATTTTAAACTATTATTTATAGTAAATTAATTCTAAAAAGTGTTTACAAGATTTTCTAAATTCTTCCATAATGTTCTCTTATCATGAACATGTGGAAATGAAGCACAGGTAACTTTGCTCCATGCAAATATTACAGATCTTAATTTAGTGGATAGCAGTAGCTTATGAAAATTAAGTAAGAAAACTGCTGACTTGAATGGAAATAGGTCAGCTGCGAAAAT